AAGACAATGACAGTCTGTTTTCAAGGATTGATACATCCACTGTACGAGAATTAATATAGATATCTTAAACTGACTAAAATTACCATAAGAAAGGGACTAAATTAGAATAAAGAAAATTAGAGGAGATAAACCAATTGGGGTTATAACACATACACACATGGAAATGTCACAAGGAAACTCCCTGTGTAGCTACCTTCATCACAAGCTAAAATGTCATGTTTTTCATTTTATGTTTTCTCTTTTCTTCCTACAAAATCAGAGAACAGGTGGGAGCAACAAGTTCTTCCCAGGGGGAAAGCTGACACCAGTGAGAGGGGAGAGGTGGTGGGAAAAAGGGTAGAGGTGATTATGATGTATAAAATGTGTACACATGTTAAAGTAATGCAACATGGTACCTGCTGACACTACACCAGGAATTGGGGAGGAGAGGATGAAGTAGAATGGTTGAAGAAGTGAATTCATCTGTGATATATTCATGTATTGACATATACTGTAAGAAACTATGGAAATGCCAAATGTACCTCACCCATCAACAACAAAGGAAAAAAAGAGTGGCTTGTACAATTCTCACCATCAATGAATGAGAGACTTGAGACTACATATTTGTCAGCACAGGGAATTTCAGGAATTTTTATTTTAATCACTCTAATCAGTATATAATTTAATGGCTCTAATTATTTTCCTAGTTATGAATGATGTTGATGTTGAACATCTTTTCATGTGCTTCTGACAGTGAAAGAGTAGATGAATTTTTCTCCTCTGTAATTTGCTTTTCATTTTATGAATGATGTTTTCTTAAGGGCAAATGCTTTTAAATTTGAAGTCCAATTTACGTTTATCTTTATTTTTTTTCTGTTTGGGTTAGACTTTTTGTGTTCTTTCTAAGAAATATTTGCTTATCATGAGTTTATGGAGATATCCTTCTATTTCTTCTGGATGTTTTATGACCTTAACTTTTACATTTAATTCATTGCAAACTCATTTTTTGTGTTATGTGAAACAGGAATCTAGGTTCATTTTTTCCATGTTGTCATCCAGTTTTCCAGCCCCATTTGTTGGAAAGGTTGTCCCTTCCCTCTTTGAATTGCTTTGGTATTTTAAAGAAAATCAATTGATCTTAGAAGTATTGATATTTTCCTGGACTCTGTGATATTTTTCCAATGATAAATTCTACTGTAAACCTTTCCAAAAATACACTGAATACATAGACCATTTAGAATTGACATCTTATAGGTTTTCCTAAGATGAAACTGAAGAATAATAGGTTTACAAAAACCTATGTTAATAAACATTGGCAGATTTTCTTCAAACCACTGCAGCAGCCTCTAATTTCAGCAGTTTTGCATTAGCACTTGCCACACTGTTGACAGCACTTTGCATCACTTGGTTTTCTAACATTTGCTTCTCAGATGAAGACAGAATAGTTTTCATTTCCATTCTTTTCATCTGGAAACTGAGAATATCTTTATTTTGATTTATCCAGTTAGGCATTATCTCTGTGAACTGCTTATTTCTATTCTTCTTCTAATGTGTCCAAAGGGTTGATTTTATATCCATCATTTTCCAAGGATCTTTTTATATTAAGTTGTTAAGTACTTGTTAGTTTTAGGCACTGAAATTAGTTTATGACTGTCACATGTCTATGAAACTTTTCTACAAAATCCTTCATAAAAAGGAATATTTTAATACAGTCAGGTGGTTTTTTAAAAAAAATTTTGGCCAAATGGTTTGGTTTACTGTATCTTCTAAAATAAGTCTTTATTCAGGGCTAAGTGACAGATATTCCTCACTATTTTATTTTATGTTTTATAGCTTTTCCTTTCAGTCTTGGATTGTCAAATTGTCTGAATTCCACTCACTCTGAATTCTAGGCACTTTTGTAAAAGGTGTGTATCGTCTAGGTATACCCCTGTTTTGTTGTTTTTTTCTCACTGTCATTTATTGAATGAATGCTATTTGCTACACAGTCTGAGTTTTCCCACATTTATCAAGTATTACATTCCATTCTAGTAATAGATTTGTTCCTGAACTCATTATTCATTTTCATGGATCAGTTAGTTCATCCATGTTTGTGCCAGCATCATAAAGTTTGCTTTAGCTTTGTATTGAGTCCTCATATCAAGTGACAGAGTGTCTCTTCTTTTTCTAAGCTGACAAATATATTGTTGGGGTTTTACTTCTCAATATGCATTTTAGAGTGAGATGTTCCAAGTTTTCCCAAAGTTAGCTGTAACACTTGTTGGAATGTTTTTAATTTGTGCACTTGTTTGGAAGCAAGTAATATATTTATATTCTAAGCTGATGTATTCATGAGTTGCACAATTAACATCATCATATCTCACCCAGATCATGTTTAGTAACTGAGTTAGAAGAGACTTCTAGCTGTTAAGAAAGTTGTTGCCTGCTAAGTCTCACCTGAAATTCTCCACAGAAATTGTCTTTGCCCTGCCCATCTTACCTTCTCCTGAGGAGACACAGGAGGGAAGCCTCATCCTTTTGCCTAAAGATGTGACAATGCGAAAGGCCCTTCTCACCCTAGAACTCACTTCCTTTGTTGCAATTCGATTGAAGTTCACCTTTCCTCTTCTCAGTCCTGCTTCTGTTATCTTTCACAGGAGTAGTTCCTAAAAGTTTTCCTCAAGTTTGGGGGGATATGTTTAATTCAATTCACAATGGAACTGACTATATATTTGACATACCTTCTGATACATTCTTGAATGTATTAAAAATGACATCTTGAGCCAGGCTTCAGTGGCTCACGCTTTTGATCCTAGCTACTTGGAAGGCTGAGATCAGGAGGATTACAGTACGAGGCCAGCCTGGGCAAATAATGAGACCCCATCTCCAGAATAACCAGAGCAGAATGGACTGGAAATATGGCTTAAGTGGTAAAGCACTAGCTTTGCAAGTGCAAAGCCTTGAGTTCAAACCCTAGTCCCACAAAAAATGATATTCTGTTTTAGTTTTTCTAATTCCTGTAATGCAATATGCTTTGATCTGGATTAGGAGATACAGTTATTTATGTAGAAGTACCTGATTATGCTTTATTCTGTTCTCATTGAAATTTGGTAAGCAATATTAATGACATTTATATTTATCTCCTTTATTGAGAAATAAATCCACTGTCTTTTGATTTTCATTGGTTTCATTATGAAGTCAGCAGTCAATCTCACTATCGTTCTTAAGTGGGCAAACTTCCAATTCACTAATTCTCTCTCTTATTATATTCAGTCTGTAACATAGTTCAATAATAAGTTTTATTTCAAGAAGTTACATTTAGTTCATTTCCATACCCATTTGCACTTTATTGACATTTGATTATTTTTGATCCATAATTTTCTGTATTTTCATTGTGGGTATCATTCACCTACCTTGGAGGATCTTACACCTGAAGTAATTGAAACCATTTGTGGTCATTTTTTCCATAGGGTCTGATCCCAGTTGGGCAATTATTCACCTGGGACCAATTAGCTACCAGGGAACCCATTGTTCCCTGACACAAGAAGGCATAAAAGTGCCTTCATTTTCCAAAATCTTGCAAAATACTTACTCTCAGCCTTCAGTTAGACTAGTATTCTTTTGACATAAGTCATGATTTCTTCCCATTTACACACATACACACACAAAGACATTTGTGTATTTCTGCTATACTAACATTCACCTTCTTTTTATGAACAGTGATAGACCTTCAACATGAAAAATAGAATTTATAACTGCTATTTATTTGTCATGTATTTTTATATAAGGGGATGTACAGGAGTCTGGAAAAAGAAGATTAATATCAGAACATTAATATCACAGAAACATTTTGGTCAGTAATTTATCCTATATGTTTTCATTTGTTTTTAGAAGTTCAATGAATAAATATTTTTTTATGCTGCCATTCCTTGGCACTTTTATGTTCTCCATTCTTGCTCCAAAATGAGCACTGACCAGTCTGTGCCAAATTCTAGCCAATGTATGTAACATGTCAATAGCCTGCAGTACCAATTTTCCTAGGGTAATCTATATGAAATCCCCCAGAGGAGTTTCTATTTAAATTTAAAAAAATAAGATGAGTGATAATTTTGAATCTGTGCATTGATTCTATGAATATTTCATAAATTCATAATTTTATATAGATACTATGCTATTTTTCTCATTCTTCAGGAAAGCAATACATTTATGAAAATTATAAGCATAATGGTTCTGAAAACCATAACACTCATTTATATCAGAAAGCACACTAACTCTTCATGTGAAATTCTTCATGAAAAACTAAATTATAATCAGTTTTCTTGGTAAATGAGAATCTGAGCAAGGGATACTCAGTCGGTGTAAGTGCAAGGCGCTGCAAAGTTGGGGCAACCTGAGGCACCTGCTTTCACCTGCCAAAAATGAAACACTCTGTCACTGGTCAGGGTGCAATGGAAATTTCTCTTTTAGTGAGATCCATTTTTCTAGACCCCATTGTCCATTCTCTTTCTGTTTATGCAGTCTTCCATTAAATATCATATAGCACAACTGAATTTAGTAATATCTATACAATTCTATTGTTTACTGAACATTCTGGTTACCATGTGCAGAATTTGCTTTTAAAGATCCAGTAATTTTCTTATTGAACTATTATAGCACTCTATATTACTTAGAGTGGTTGAGCTCACAGTTATTTGTCAGTATTTATATTGATTTTCCATGTTAGGAGTGTATTTTGCAGTTTCCCTCAAGTTTAGTCTACAAATTCTACTCTTAAAATTTTAAAGAAAATAATTTCACTAAGCAATTTCCCATCCAGACTAGTTTTATTTTAAAATGGTAGCATGCTAATACATTTACATCTGTCAAATAAAATTAATATTTATCACAATGTCCTATTGTAAAGTTCTAGTACAACATATGATATTTTGAAATAACTTCAGTAGATACACTTGTTGTGTTTTCATGGTTTAAGCTCATTATAGGTATATTTTAAAGTACTGGTATCTACAACATTTTTCTATAACTTTAAACACATTTCTTACCACAAGTTGAACTCTTCCACCATTAAGTACATCTGGATCTAACTCAGGCAAGAAGTGATTGCTACACAGTGACAAAAGAAAACATTATAATATAAATGTAGACAAAGAGTATGAAAGAAATGCCCAAATAAAAAAAATTGGAGATATCATTAAAAATGAAAATAAAATTTTTAAAGTTAGGTTATAAGCAAAGATAAGTTCAAATTTATATCTTTCCAGAGTTTTTTAAAATTATATGTGACATAAAATTTCAATTTCTAAATAATCCTTTTTTGTCAAACATAAACATATCAAAGAACAAAAAACTGAAAATTTTAGCAATCACAGTTAATAAATTATAGAAATTTAAATGTTTATGTTACATTTACTCACATTCTTTAGGTGTCATTTAGGAAAGGTAATGCTTCCTATTTTTAACATTTTAAAAACGTTAGGATGTTTAATGCATTATACTAAGTCTACAATAATCTCTGATTTAAAACCAGAACATTGACATTTGGCTTTTTAAGAGCTTCTGCTTTTGAAAACAGTTTTCTTAAAACATTACAACCTATTCATTTATGTACTGTATTTTCAAAGTATAAATTTCATGAATAAGTGCTTATTGTTTCATCTATTCAAGTACAGGTAACTTACTGTTAAATGTTTTAGTATATCTAAAATTCATGCTGAAAATTTTAGTTTATTTTTTCATTGTTTTTCATTTATTTATTCATCTATGCCAATGCTTCTGAATTTCAGAAGAAGACCTGTTATAGCTGGTTAATATAGATGACTAGTGATGGGTTCTGTTTGTTTGTAGGTCTGAGGATGATATCCTCATGAGCTAAACCAAATTGATTAATGCCAACATAAATTCTATTTGCATCAATTTGAATACTTAAAAATAAAATTTTTAAAATTTTGATGGCTTTACTCCTACACTCTTGTTCATAATACAATATAGCGTAATTCACACTATAAAATGTTTTACTTTTGCTTTTATATAATATCCATATTTTGAAAGAAATTAAATGAATAGAATTTACCATACATGAAAGGTCAGTTCAGATACTACATTAAGAAAGGATTAATCTAGAATTTTGACTACCAAATTAAAAAAAAAACAAATTAAAATACACCTATAATATTTACTGATACTTAGAAACAGTTAATAGTTACCATATTTTTGCTTCTAAAGAAGAATAATTGCATAGTTAAAATTAACCAAAATCTGTTGGCCCCAAGCATTACAGAATTGAGTTGATAATAAATATTTCATAGTGAAAAATATAAAGAGCAATTAAGTCTATTCTACAAGAAAAGCCTTTTTATAACCTGACAACATAGTTTGTTGGCCTTTGGCTATGTAGTCATGTTTGTTTTAGCACAATTAATCTAGGTTTCACTTTTCAAGATACGTTCACAATACAAAAATCTAATTTAAAGGAATGATCTCACCATTTCATATTTCTGGAACTAGTTTTTTCATGAATCCCAACCTGTGTGTGAAGCCACTGGTATGTGTATTCTTTTCTTGTTTCAAATTTTTCATTTGCAGTGCTATCCTTATAGATAAAGTCTTCTTCCTTGCCTGGGAAAGAAATACAGAACATTTACTATTTAAAGAAATCAAACCCTGGCAGGAAGTTCAGTTGAGGCTAACAATTTTATCACAAGAAAGAAAGAAGAAATCACTAATTAATGGTGACTAAATCATCTGAAAAAGAAATAATTTTAATTACTTAAAAATTAACTACTCTTCCTGCTTGAGTTTTGAACTTACTATGTTCAAAAATACAGGAAATGCTTTAATGCAACCACCACTTAAAAAGGCTTATGTTTTAGTTTTTAATTAGAAAAGTCCGGGTTAGTTTTGGTAGACAGTAGAATTCTTCTAATATAAAAAGAATGCATGTCCATTACCATGTTTTTTACACTTATTCTAAAGAGCAGTTGTTTTTAAACTAGCCTTAAACAAATGTAGAGTACACTGACTATTTTGAGGGTATTTCAAAGTAAATTTTGAGTTTTTATAATGCTGAGCTTGGTTTGTATAAGCTAGCATGAGCTCTAATTATTGTTATTGCACCTTAATTATACACAGTAACAAGTTTCCTTTCAATACATGGCCAATACAATATTTTAAGCTAGGAATATAATTTATATCAGTTTCAGGGAATATGTGCTATGGAACAGTAGATATCTCAAGTATAGGAAAAGTATAAAAAAGAGATAGATGGATATAGGAAAACGTGAGATGAGAAATCATACCAGGTAAGGATGAAAGGTTGAGAAAAACACAAATATGTTCGAGATTCCGGCTTGTAATTCTGGCTACAAGAGAGGCAGAGATCGGGAGGATTGTGGTTTGAGGCTAGCATGGGCCAAAAGTTCTGGAAACTCCATCTCAACCAATGGCTGGGAACAATGCTGTATGACCATCATCTTAGCTATTCAGTGCAGCACAAATCGGAGGACTCCTGTCCAGGCTAGCTTGGGCATAAAGTGAGACCCTATCTCAAAAATTACCAACACAAAAAGGATTGGTGGAGTTGCTCAAATGATAGTAGACCACCTTCTTAGCAAGTAGGAGGTCCTGAATTCAACCCCCATTACTGCCAAAAGAAAAGAAGCATAAAAAGTAACATTTTAAAATAGGTAAAAGAAAAATCCAACCCATATATTCAAATACAAAAATTATTATATATACATGTTAATTACAAAAAAAAAACCCTGCTGAATATGGCTGCTATGTCAATTCCGTTTATTTCAGAGTGACAGTGAAGACTCTAGCTTTAGAGCCTTCCTCCAAGGATTTATCTTTCACACTGCTTCTTTCTTGGAGCTGTCACCATATTTAGAGGCTTTTTAGCTTTGTAGGATTGACTGACAGTACACCAGAGCGAGACACCTCTTTGGAACTAACTCATGGTAATTAAGAGGAATAATAACCAGAACAGTATTGTAATTTAAATACTGATATTTAAAATGCCAACAAGTTAATTTGAAACATCCTTTCACTATGAATGCTTATGCATAGGAAAACAATATATTTGCAAGTTGTTTGGGAAATGAATGAAGCATGATACAAAGGCCTGTTTCAAATGCTTGGTACATATATACTGTACACTCATATGTACCCCAAAAGTTCAGCATGCATCCTTCTGACAATGATGAAAATGGTATCAGCCTGTCTTTCTTCCATGAAGATTGCTGTTGTCGTTAGTGAAATAACTAGTTTTCAGTTCAAAGGAATGTTGGAGACAGTTCTCAAGCTAAAAATTACGTTCCATTGTTTCTCTGCACTCTAAGTTCTTATTACTTTTTATGCCACCTTGTGTTTCTAAAATGGCACTAGCCCTTGCAGCCTGAGCATATGCCAAGCCTTCCGTAGTTGCTATGGTGACAGGAACAATTACTTCATGTGCCAGGGCTGACCACTGAATCCATGAGCAGACATCATTTTAATGAATAGCTTCACAGATAAATATAAGTCAAATGGAAGGAAGATGTGGTGTTGCCACACTCAATTACTGCACAGGATTGAGTTTTTACTCTGTGGAGTCCAGCTTCTGACCTACCTTTCTTGGCTGACCATACCAGATGCTGAATATAACAGTGCAGTGACAGAAAACAGTGAAGATTCAAAGAGACTGATGATCATTTGAGCAAGGATGGAGCCTTATCTACTCTTGCTATGTAGAAAATCCTTTTCTGACAAGTGTACTTTAGCTAAACAAAAATCGTCTCTGGCTTTCTGCTTTTAAAACTAGTGACATATACTTCCTATAGTCCCTGTTTTAAAGCACTGTTTTTTGAAAGTTTTCTTCATGACTGGAATAACACTTCATAAACCTTAAGTGATTTTACATGAGGAGAGATTTCATTGCAAGGGTCCAATTCATATTAACCGTTTTATCCTGAAAGCATAGATTGGAGTATTGGCATAAGGTCAGAATAAAAAAACAGAACAAGCAGAGTGGTGAAGTTGGCTGGATGTAACTGAAAATACTGCAGTTCAAATGCTGAAAGAAAGGGTTCTGTTTCAGCTAAACCATTTCAAGATTTCTTCTGTCTCTGGGAAGGAGAAAGCAAGATTTGCTCTTTGGAACATGCAGAAGTCTTGCTTTTAGAATCCTGTAGGGAGAATAATGGTGACATAGATTACTTAACAGGTGTTTATCAGTTTCCTTTCAGGCTGTCTTTCCTTTCAAGGTCAAAAGAAGCATCATTCTGTTTGCAGAATGCTAACCTCTTTTCCTACCATTCATTTCTCTTTCTCTGGGTCTGGCTTCATCAGTTCCCTGTATCTTGAACCTAAGAAAAAGAAAGTGTTCCTTTGATTTTTTTTGCTGTTCTCTAGTTATAGTGTCCTCTACATATGCTTCTTTACTTCAAAACATAAGTTGGTGTAATTTTATTTAGACAAACTGCTGAGCTTTTTATTATTAAAATATTTCTCCATTATAGACAACTTAGAAAGTAAAAGCTCAAAAGAAAATCTGTAAAAATCCCACTATCTAAAGGCAGTTACAGAATAACATTTTTAAGGTATTATTCTTGAAATTCTTTTGGAATAAATTTCCTTTTGTTTTCAGTTTGCACTGTGATTATATGTGTTCTTTTAATCATATTTTTCATTCAGCATTATAACAAATGCAATATGTCATGGAAATCTTGAACACAACTTTAGTGGCTTTTCACTATGACATAACAACTTATTACATGTTAAGCTTTTGATTATTCTTCTTAGGATTAAGTTAAAAGTATAAATATTTTGGGAAACTTGGAATAACATATATTGACAAACAGTTTTTAAAAGCGCTAATTTATCTCATGATGCGTTATGTTGCTCTTTTCACTGAGCCACTGCTCCTTATTAGTATGCTAAATATTAGACACTACTGACAATTTGACGACAATGTTAACTATTTTTTTTCAATTTATGTCTTTACTGCTAGCAAAACTGAACATTAACCCATATGGCTGCTTACTAATTTTGCATTATACATTGCGAAAAATCTTTCTTGTTGTCTCCAATTATTTACTACACCCTTTTATTTTGCTTTTTGTTTATAACAACCATTCATAAGTTTTTCTGTCACTAGTCCCAGTATTTTCTCTTGCCCATTTTAGTCTCTATCCTACATTTTTTTACTCTTTCTCTAAGTATACAAAGCTACATTTTTATAAATGTCTTCTATAATATGTGCTATTTTCCCTTTATAATTTATAGCTTTGTGTCTCCTAATTCAGTAAACTGCATGACACATAAGATTTCAGGGGAAAGTTCTAGACTCTATCAATATTTATAGACTTTCAAAACAAAATGTCTTAACAAGAAGTTTATTCTGTCTCTTATTCTTCACTTTCAATTTCCTCCTTCACTTACTCCATTCTGATTTTGCCAAACTGAAAATGAACTCACTAATAAGGCCTGAAATTGACTCACTTATTCCTTGTCTTGTTGACTTCTCACTGAATTCATCTAATATAGGCCAATGCCTTTGTTGATTATGTCATAGGGCTAGCAGCCTAGAGGACTAGCTATTCACAACTTCTATCTCATATTTCCAGCTGAACTTTAGAAGCACAACTTGTATTTACCATCTCATCTTACTAAAGTTTGTTAGCCTTCTGAGTTTCCAAGTCATGGAGACCAGAAATTCTGTGGTGAACTTCAGTTATTCCATTCCTTTAAGTACCAATATCTAAATAGAAACTAGACCTACTTTAGATCTAAACTTCCTGAATACCCCTTTCCACTTATCTGTTCTCTCTTTGACTTACTAACCATTAACACTTCAGACCTCTGCACTCATGGTGGCATTTCACTTTAACTATGAACAACAAATCACATACTGCTAAATTTTATGGACTTATTGAAGCTATTATCTTACCAATTTATCTAGAGTATTAGATTATCTACTACTTCCTTCTTGAAAGGCTTGTTTCATCTGCATTTTGTTTCAGTAGATTCTCCTGTTTTTCCTCCAATCTTTTAGTCAAGCATCACACTCTCTTTGAAGGGCTTCTTTTCCCTTGTGATTATTTGGTGGTGTATCCTCTCATCTTTTTCTTGTGCTACACTATCCATTTAAGATTATTTCAATTTGAATTCTTCAATTACCATTTTCATTTCCTTCTTGGACACATTAACTCAAGCCTCTCCTTATAATTTAATCCGGAATGTCCCCCAAAGACTTCTGTTAAAAGCTTGCTCCCCCCATGCAGCACTATTCAGAGGTGACTGGATCATGAGGGCATTAACCTCACCAATGAACTAATCAATTGATGGATTCATAGCTGAGTGAACTATTGGAAGGTTGTGGACTGTGATGGAGGAAGATCACTGCAGGTGTACCCTTGAAGTGTACTCTTGTCCCTGGTCCCCTTTTCTCTCTCTGCTTCCTGGCTGCCATGAAGTGACCATCTTTGCTCCCCTACATGCTGTCCTCAGTGAAGTTTTTCCTTGCTTTGTGCCCACAGCAAAGGAATCTGTAGATTGAAGTCTCTGAAACCATGAGCCAAATACATCTTTCCTCCTTTAGATTGATTTTCTCATGTATTTTTGTCACAGTGATACAAAGC